TCAGAAACGATTAGAGACAGTAAATTTGACTTAAAAAAAAGTAAGTAGTAGTTTAATAGGGTTACGTTGTTTTGACGAGTTTGTTTAGCTAGATGCATGTGCTTCTCAAACCTCGGCAAAAATTTCGGTTTTTCCTTTATCACAAGTGTTAAAAAGTGTTTGTAATTGAATTATTATCAAGGTAAGTGGAACTTAGACAATTTTCCAGGATTATTAAGGCTTTGTTTTCTCCTCATTTACTAGTTTCGAATGTTTCATTTTTATTACTAAAATAATTTAAGAGAGTTTACATTTAATTTTCCAAAGAAACTTCCACAGGCTACTGTAATACTTTTTACAAAAATTCTGTATTCCTCCTGTCAGAAGTTTTGTAAAAATTAGTGTTTACATTTGCCCAAACCATCATTTTGGATAAATGTAAACAGGCTTTTTATATTTTTTAATATTCCAGATACCTCGAAAATACGTGCGCAAGACAAGTGCGCCAGCATATCCAAAAGAATCACATCAAAACTTACCGGAAAGCTCAAGAATAGTAAAATGTCCCTATTGCAGTAATTTCCCAAAAGATTAATAGACGCAAAACTTCCATGGACTCCACTGGTCCAGGCCGCAAAACAGCACTATATGCCCAGATTGAAGATAAAATTGTGGAATGTTTGCTTGCTGGGGCGAAAGCAGGCTACCCTTGTGACAAGGAGGAGCTGTTAAATCTTTTTTCTACTCCCGTCTATAAAATACCTAATTACGCACCGATCTAGAGTGCGGGAAGCGTCGCTTTACCACGTCAGTTTCGTTTTCCACGAATCCGAGCCACTTCGGACATTTCCGGGATTTTACCGCACGGGTTTGGGAGCAATCGGATGTTTTCGGGGATATTTCCCACGCTTTGAATTTTGACGTTTGTCAATTCTGACAGTCATGACAGTGAATGTATTCGTGTTTTGCGAAAATGTACCCAAAAATTAACGGTCGTAGAAAAAGTATAGTATGCACCACGTTCGGTAAACTTTTTAACTCACTCATTTATTAAACACTCGCTCCGCACGTGTCAAATAAACTCTTGAGTCAAATGCCGTTTACCGCACTTGTTGCATAATATACTATTTCAGGATTATGTACAGTCTCACAATATAACAACAACTTTTCTTAATGGAAGACCTGGGGAAGATTGGTGTTACCTGTTCCTGCGAGGACACAATGTCATTTTACCCCTAAAAAATCCAGAGCATTTACAAAAATGAAGGAAAGGAGATAGAAGACCGGACATAAATATTGTTCAACCCACAAGTTCTTCAGAGGCGACTACTATTGTTGAAAGCACACAATCACCCTCAAAAAAGATAGCAATTCCAAAATTAAAACAACTCAGTTATGGAGCAGAGGTATGAAAAAAACTAAAAGAAGGCCAACAAAAAATTTAGAAATGATCAAAAAACAAAAATCAACCTCTTTACTATTTTGTTATTTGTTGTTGAACAATGTTAATTTGTTTTCTTTCCTAACGTATTACTATAACCTTAGTAATAAATTAGAACTAGAAAATGGAGTTTTTTCAAGCGTGTATGCCATGTTCCCCAATGATTTTGGGGAAAATGTAAACACCGGCCAAAATTAATAAAAAATGATCTACTAGCTTATAAAGTTAATGTTTACATATGCCACTCAGGAAAATGCATTTTCTTGACCCTGTCTCGTTATATATTATATATTATATATACAGTGTGTCCAAGATAAGGATGCACAGCATGGGGATCTCGGAAACTATAAGAGATACAGTGTCGGTTAAATTAGACAAAAGTTGCGCATTTTGATACCGAACAAGATCCCGTTTTACAAATTTGAAAATTCCAAGCCGTTCCGGAAATATCCGAGAAAAACCGAAATATTGCGATTTCGTTTTTATTATTTTTTAAAGCTATTTGAGAAGATATGAAAAAACGGAAAACACTTTTCCATTGGCACTTTTTAATCTCTCCAAATTGACGTTAACAAATTTTCATTACAGCGTTTCGATTCTATGGAACCACCATCAACTTTGATTTTTCTTATGGGACGGAAAAAAAGTACACACAGTATTAGGTTGTGCTTTTCATTGCGAATTCAACGATGTACGATACAATACGGTTACTTATGTTTTTATCCAGAAAAATGGCTTTTTAATACATTTCTAGTATTTTATTGTAGTAGGCCATGAGATCCGAACGATGAAAGGCAAAAGAAAATGGTTGACAAGTTCGAGTTAATGTGTTTATTTATTTACTAACTCTAACTGTTCATTTAACATAACAACTAAATCCAACAAGTTAATGAAGAACAAATTCTATAACAAATGTTCGAATAAATGACCTCCATTTTCTAGGCATAAGTACGCCCGTCTCACGGTAGACTCCAAAACACGACTTAACATTTCAGGAGTAATTTTATTAAACGCTGCTCGTACTGATTGACGTAATTGTTCCTCGTTGTCAAAACATTCTTTGAATACCTCATTTTTTATGTAGCCCCATAAGAAAAAATCCAAGGGAGTTAAGTCCGGGGACCTTGGAGGCCAAGGTGTTTCACTGTAAGTCCCAATGTATTTTCCATCAAACCGTTCAGTTAAATATTGGCGAACTTCTCTCGAGTTATGGGCTGGGGCACCATCTTGTTGGAACCAGCAGCCTTGCACAGCGCCTAGCGGTAAATCATCTAAGGCATCTTCTAAATCGTGCCTCAAGATGTCAAGGTACCGCTCGGAAGTTAAGGAATTATTATAGAAAATAGGGCCTATAATCTTGCTACCAAAAATCCCACACCAAATATTAAACCCAAAGCGAACTTGATGTCTGGATAGTCTATTAACACGTGGATTTTGTTGCGACCAATAGTGTGTATTGCGCCTGTTATAAATACCGTTATTGGTCACCATACTTTCATCAGACCAAATCACTTTATATGGAAAATTAAAACTCTCATCACACATCCTGGTATACCACTCACAAAAATGTCTACGTCGTTCGTCGTCACCCGGTTTTAATCTTTGACATATTCTGAATTTGTAAGGCTTAAATTCATTTTTCCTTAAAATAAACTGAGCTGTAGATTTAGCTACCCCATTCTGGTCTTCAATTTCTCTGGTAGAAGTTTGTGGATTTTCGATAACAGATTGTAGAACAATGTATTGGTTTTCTTCATTGGAAGGTTTTTGTCGGGATAATGCAGGCTTCTTAAATGATCCATATTCTTTCAGATTAAATAACAAACGCCGAAAAATACTCTTGTCAGGTTGTCTCCGCTCTGGGTATTTGTTAGAATACATACGCTCGGCTTCCACACAATTTCTTTGGCATCAGATGTAGCAAGACAGCATATCACATTTTTCTTCGTTTGTAAAAATACCTCCCTCCATTGTAGAACAAAATAAATTAGAAAAAGACAACAACAATAAAAATACAAAAACAATAACTAAAGGAATAAACTTATGATCGACTGATAACAAAGACAAATAACATTAATGTGTCATTGAAATTGACTGGATGTCATTTTGTCATGGCCTACTCCATTTAAATGCTGAAATGTATTAAAAATCCATTTTTCTGGATAAAAACATAAGTAACCGTATTGTATCGTACATCGTTGAATTCGCAATGAAAAGCACAACCTAATACTGTGTGTACTTTTTTTCCGTCCCATAAGAAAAATCAAAGTTGATGGTGGTTCCATGGAATCGAAACGCTGTAATGAAAATTTGTTAACGTCAATTTGGAGAGATTAAAAAGTGCCAATGGAAAAGTGTTTTCCGTTTTTTCATATCTTTTCAAATAGTTTTAAAAAATAATAAAAACGAAATCGCAATATTTCGGTTTTTCTCGGATATTTCCGGAACGGCTTGGAATTTTCAAATTTGTAAAACGGGATCTTGTTCGGTATCAAAATGCGCAACTTTTGTCTAATTTAACCGACACTGTATCTCTTATAGTTTCCGAGATCCCCATGCTGTGCATCCTTATCTTGGACACACTGTATATTATATACATTTGCCTCAGAGTGGCAGGGGTAAAGGTAAACACTGACAGATAATTTTTGTAATTTTTTAAAGCAGTCTTGGATTTTCTTTTTGAAAATTAAGTGACTTGTATTCATTCGTGAATTAATCTTATTTAAATCCCGATTTAGTTATTTGTTGTTCAACAATGTTAATTTGTTTTCTTTACCTAATGTATTACTATAAATTCTGTAATACATTCGAACTAGGTTGGCAAAAATTTATATATAATTTTTGAAATTTTTGAAATCAGTCTTGGATTTTTCTTTTTTCTTTTGAAAATAAAGTGACTCATCAAGGCAAATTTGTTTTCTTTACCTAATGCATTACTATAAATTCTGTAATACATTAGAACTAGGTCTTCAAAAATAAACGTCAAATAAACTATTCCAAAATGAAGTCTTTTCAAGCCTATATGCCATGTTCTCCAATAACTCTGTGGGAAATGTAAACATCTGCCAAAATTAACAAAAAAATATCTACTAGCTCATAAGGTTAATGTTTACATATCCCACTCAGGAAAATGCATTTTCTTGAACCTGTTTAAATTTGTCCCAGAGTGGTAGGGGTAAAGGTAAACATTGACAGATAATTTTTGTAATTTTTTAAAAGTAGTCTTGTATTTTTATTTTTAATATAATTCTGCGTTTTAGTAAAGCTTGCCGACTAAACAATGCTATATAAATTATTGTGTAGTTAATATTAGAACAGTGGAGTCATAATTTACAGATGAAATTGAAAAAATATCAAATATTCGGATGTCCCATGCGTGTCACTGGGGATCGTTAACGAAAACCCATCGCCGAAAACGAATCGGCCAACGAAAGTGTAGTGATAAATTAAATCGTGTAAATTAATTGTTATCGTGAAAACGACTCCTACTAATCTTGGCCCGCGATAAGATAAAACAAACCCGACTTAAAAATAAAACCGTTTCAAAAATATCATTTTCGCGTTTGTGTGTTACCGTTGCCGCATCGTACCGTTTCCCATTCCATTGACAAAGTCAGCAGAGTCCACTCCGCCACCTTTAATTAGTTTTAGTATTATGATCGTAATCCGTCTTCGTTATGGAAATAAAGCGATCTCGGACAAGACCGACGAATCACGGCGAAGAGATTCGGGCCTAGCCTGCGTTACCCACCCTCCGATTGGTCAGTGCTCGAAGGCGCATCGTCTGTTTCAAGAGGATTCCGTAGTCCTACAGGATCAAATGAGCCTGCGAGAGCAAGGAGTTTAGAGTAGGGGAACAGTACATAGGCATCACGTTTGACTTTCTTCTCAAGCAGTATAGTCAGCGCTGTAGAAGCGTTTAAACATACAGACGTCAGTTGCACAGGTTGTCACCATTCATTACATAAATAGTTTGCCCGCTGTATCGGCTCGAAGATATGGTATTCGTGAAAATTTAATACGCGAAGAACGTTGATAATTTTATTGTGAAGTGCCCGGTGCGCCGTTGTGTTTTTGTCCTGACTCCGTATTTTGCGAAAATGCATTTCGAAAACTGTTTGATTTTTTTGGTGTTGGTTAGTTTCGGCGGCTCGAGTCACGCGAGGAATAAGGCGCCCTTGCTGGACGAAGACAGCGTGAAGACGAGAAATAAAGCGGCCGGTAAGTTTTGGAATTTTTCGAAATTGTTTTCGAACGCTTAACGCGGGATTTTAAAACAACCGATTAAACGGACGTCGCTGTTTTGCGTTTAATTTCGACCTTATCGAATTTCGCTCTCGCCGCGTTATTTTTACCATTTTGCAATTAAAGTGTTAATTTGGGGGCGTAACTGTACCGTATTTCTGCGTGTGCCGAAATTTTATGTCACCGTTTGGTGTTTTCATGTTATACGCGGCTTTATGTGCGCTAATAAATCCTTTAAGCTATTAGACGAGAAAAACTTTTTTAATAGCTCATTCATTGGTTTTGATTTTTGTTAATTTTATGACATGGCATTTTTTTTCTTCACAAACAATACGAGAAATTACAATGCTGTGTTTAGTTGTTTAGTAGAAAAAATGCACAAAAAGTGAGTGGTCCACGTTGAAGTTGAATCTCCTAGTTAATAATGTTCCTAGCTTACTCTAAATTGCAACAACAAAACAAAAATCAAAAATAAATTAAAAAATGGGTTGCCGCAATCATTTTAACTGTTGACTGAAATTACCTATGAAAATCGCATTTAAGTTTTGCTTATTTTGTTAGATTTAGTTTTTTTTATACCTATATGTTTTTTAAATATTGAAAAGATCAAATTAATACAATTGTCCTCATTAAAAAATATCAGCGGCTTGGGATTTATTTATAATTTATGTTTTAGACCATCTGGGAGTTTGATTCCGAGTCATTATTATTATTTAAGTTAATTAAAAAAAAAATAGCAATAATTTGTGTAACAGTGGTTGATACAAATTATCTATTAAAATTCCAAAGAATGGCTTAAATTTTTGTTTATTTTGATAGTTTTCTTAATTTATTTTTTTAAATATTGGTTTTTGAGCTTGAGCCTTATTTTTTATCATGAATACGAGAGAGAAGACTAAATTAATATAAATATAATCATTATTACTTTTTTTATATTAAATTTTTGCCTTATTTTAAAATGCATCTGTTCTTTCTTAGCGACAACCTGATGTAATGTTTGTATGCAATTATCGTTTTACATTATGAAATTAAATTTAATGAGTTTATTTTTTGGTTTCTTAAAAAAAATGAACAGATGCAAATATTATGTTTAATAAAAAAATGCAGAAAAAGTGAGTGGAATATATTCTATTGGATGTAAAATTATCTTAATATTAGCTCGATATGTGCAAATTGCAACAATGCAACAGAAATAAGAAAAATGATTTTCACATTTTGACAACCGAAGCCATGTTCTCAGGTACCATATGCAATCATTTTTATTACATTTGCTGACCGAGAGAAACTATGTAAGTTCCGGAAAATGGTAATTTCATGGTATTTTGTTACATATGGTTTTTTTTACATATTTTTTCATAGTATTTCTGAATGTACATGTGATTTTTATTTTTCACTGTGAGGCAAATGACGAAATTCATAAAATTTTCAATTTGCATTTGAACCTAAATTCGACTGAAAAAAGATTATTTAAATCGATGTTATTTTTGCTGGATATTCATTTTTTTACTCTTTTTTAAATGCACCTGTTTTTCTCGAGTTATCGTCAGTACTAATTTTATTTTTGTTATTCTTAAAAATGATAAATTAATATTTGAATAATTGCATAAAATTAAAATACTGTGGCATTTCATTGCCACGTTATCATAAAATTTTCTCCTAGTTGATACATTACTCGTTTTATAGAGCCAAATTGCAACAATAATAACAAAAACAAAAGAAAATAGTTTTCACAAAGTGAAACAACCTTTAGCATAACATTTTTATTTATATTATAAACCATTTTTTTACAAAAATGTTGGATGCTGAAAATGAAAAAAAAAACATAATACATAATATTTAAATTAATATATTTGAATACATTAATTAAATTATTTTTTTTAGAACGTAAGTATATGTTTGTCACAATGTTCGCTTTTTTACAAAGTGAATCTGTTTTTTCTTAGCCCAAGGAAAACCTGATGTAATAATACATAATTATCGTTATGACAATTGTTGACTGAAATAAAATATGAAAATACCTAAAAATGCATTTTCATTTCTACCTATTTATATATATATATATATATATATATATATATATATATATATATATATATATATATATATATATATATATATATATATATATATATATATATATATATATATATATATATATATATATAAATGTAATTATTTTTTGAAACCTTAATTTTTTTTTAGAACACATATGTGCAATATTTGAACCTCTTTTTGAATTGAGTCTATTTGTACATTTTAAATTTAAATTAAATTTTTTTTTTGTTTTCCCTAACCCACTACAGGTATTTTGCGAAATCTGCGAAGAGAAAATCGAAACAGAAGTAACCAATATGGCAAAATCGTCGCGTATTATTTTTCCGGACTGTAGTCTTAAAGCAAATTAAGAAAGGTGCCGACTAAACATGCTACTTTTTTATGACGTCGGTAACTCGACCAAACAAGCAGGGATCGTCAATATTTTTCGTGTTGTAGGTCAGATTCGGGATAAGGCATTATTAACTTTTCAATAAACAAGCCAATCTGTCGGTAAATGTTTAGGGCCTTGTTAATGGTATTACAACTGGGTTTCGGTCCTTCAGCTACAACTTTTAACACCCGCGTTTCTCAGTCGTTGGAAGTGTGATTTTATGGTCGAAACAAGCCACCTGTTGACTTTTCTCTTTTTTTTTCCGAGAATTAATAAAATAAGGCACGGGATTGCGATTCAAAACGCGCGTTTTGTTTCGTATATTAAACTGCATTATTAATGATGTTTTTTTCTCCCGTGCCGCGGGAAAACCTGCGGAATATCACGTAATTCTCGGTTTGAAGCAAAGGTGCAAATTGGTATTTTATTGCGAGTGATTTACTATAAAATTTTCGCAGATACTTGCAATAATAACCGTAAATTTTTCTTTTAAACCGTGCTGTTTGACAATCTAATAGACATGAGGAAGTCATATTAACAGCGTTGTTTATTACGGTACGACGCCTAATCTCAGAGCCCGTAAATAATCTCTTAAAACTTGTTTTGATCCACTTATATTAATATTGAAATAGTACACTGGATTTTTCACCCTACCCGTCCATTAAAAAATTATCGAGATGTAATATAGAAACGCCTTCCGATTTTTGGGGATAAGGTAAGTGCCAAGTGTACTAATGATTCAACCGGAAGTTGCTGTCGACTTGCTTATTTTAAATGGAACATTTTCCCTAATATGAGGTTCAAATTTTGAAAAACTACAAAATCATGCATTTTCAAAGTTGGTTGAGCTGCTAGAACAGAGTTTTGTCAAGGTCAACACAAGATATGTTTAGTTCAAACGGAATCTGAATATATAATAATGTACGCCGTGTTCCATTTGAAATAAGCAAGTTGACAGTAACCTCAGGTTAAACCGCAAATGACAGGACCACAAATCCCAAAAATGGAAAGGGTTTTTAAATGACGTCTCAATAAACTTTTAATGAACGGATTGGGTGAAAACCCTTGTATAGAAAAAAGGCTTTCAGATGGAGGGGTCTATGGATATAGTTAGACCTGCATACGTAAATTTTGACCTTTTTCTTTAAGTGTCATATCCTTATTGAACGTTGACGACTGCCATGTTCACGTTGTCGCTATAACTGTCCCGATCCAGTGCTACATGGAGTAACTCATCTGCGTTAAAGCCTGTCCATTGTCTCAGGTTTCTTAGCCATTAAAGCCTCTTACACCCAATCCACTTTTTTCCCTCTATTTTTCCGTTAAGGATAAGCCCAAGAAAGTCATATGGAAGTCCTCTAATTATATGGCCTAAGTATTCAAGTTTTCGTCGCTTGAATGTCGGCAGTAGCCTGTCGTGTCCCATTCTTAAGTACTTTTTCATTTCTGGTTCTCGTGGTACAGTATATTTTAAGCATTCTCCTGTATGTCAACATGTTTCCCATCCATACATAAGAATCGACCATATGTAACATTTTACAAACTTTTCTCTTATTTTGATGTTTAGTGTGTTATTTGAAAGCAAACTGAATTTCTGAAATGCAGGATATATATCTTAATCAATCCAGCAGCCGAGATATTTAAAGTTTGTCACTCTCTCAAACGGTTCTCCGTTTAAAAGTAATAGGATCTGGTCAACTTTACTTACAATCATATATTTAGTTTTATTTATGTTAATAGATAGCCCCCAGTTCTTACCAGCTTTATTTTCTGATTTAATTACGGTATGGTCAGCATATCGCCATATATCAAGGATATGCCAATTTTGACCTAAAATTCAAAATATCTCAAAAACAGCGAGACTTAGGATTATCTGCAGAAAACTCCAAGGAATTAGAAAATGACTTAAAATGTAAGAAGAATTTTTTTTTTATATTTATTATTTACAGGCTCTGTCGAAATGTGTCATTCCCTAATAAACGGACCACCCGGTACTTGCGTGCATGTACATGAGAGTAAAAGGTGGTGGTGTCGCATAACGAAAGTTTCGACTCATTCATTCATATATTTATTTTAAAATCTGGCCGCGTGGAAACGCCCTCCATTAAGTTTTTTCCGAGTGTAATTACTATGGCTTATTACGAAATATTCGACCCGTTGGCATAGGTGCAATTTTTGGCGGATGTGACGTTTTACTTCAATTAAAATTATCCGCGTGATGGAGGTCGTTATTTATTCGAAGAAAAATGGACGGTTCCGCGTACTTTTCCAGGTTACCTGAAAAGATGTTACAATTATTATATTATAAATTAAAGTCAAGTTCATTTAAATTAATATAAAGTTTGCTGAAGCCTGTGGAATGTTTTATGTATTTTTCTTGTACTTCGATTTTTTTATAGCAGTAATAGATTAAATTTTGAAAGAAAGGGCAAGGTTTGATAATGAAAATACAAACAAAAAAAGCTAAAAACTTCACACACTGTTTTAACTAAGGATTTGAATGTTTAAAATTCAACTAATTAACTAAATTTAATGGAAAAAAATGCAA